TATGAAAAAAGCACCTCTTACTCCTTACCAGTGTGTGAGAGCTCCATGTCACACTGATGTTATTCGGTGAAGTCATGTGTCCTAGCCTGTCCCTGCATCCCTTCCCAAAATCTTTTGAGAGGTTGAGATGAGACCTTTGTGTTACTTGAGTGACAGACACCAATGATGCTTACATGGAAATCTTGTCATCTTCTGGAACTGTCTACCTGTGGACTCATTATCGCCAACCTCTTCCTGTGCCTTTTTGGCCAAAACTGCCTACTCTTCCAGGGGCCAACTCCTGTGCTGCCACTTCTCCTTTTCAGCCTTGTCATGGATCCTACGCTTGATATCACCCATGTTTTCTGTGTCCATTCGCCACACGCTGGCTTTCCTTCCTACGTTGACCTACCTCAATCCCACAGCACATCACTGCAAGCACCCGAGCTTTTCCTGTACATCCCTGATTTCCCGCCACAGATGAGTACAGCCAACTCCCTTTTTACCCCCGACTCTGCGGTTGTTCCAATAGGTCTCTTTCCTGTTTCCATCAGTGAATATTCAAATCCATATGATCTCTTCACATCATCCGCTGCACCACCCACCCTGACTCTCAGTAAGACTGCTCATTTGGTATGAACATCTTCAAATTCTTGCCCTTTACTTACAAAATTTGTGTGTGTGTGTGTGTGTATACACACAGTCAGCCTTTCCTCCTTTCTTCACTATCAGAAGAAAAGTTATTTCTGTAACCAAGAGTCATCCAGACATTTGTGTTTTGAATTTTTTGCCCTCCTGCTCTTTCCAGGATTTGACTCATTAATTGTCCTATCTTTACTGTTTCTCTAACATCTCTCTTTCCATGGCTTTTTTTCACATTATGAAATAAGCTCAAATCTTTATCTTAAAAGAAAAAATTCTTTTTTTTTTTTTTTTGAGACGGAGTCTCACCTTGTCACCCAGGCTGGAGTGCAGTGGCCGGATCTCAGCTCACTGCAAGCTCCGCCTCCCGGGTTCACGCCATTCTCCTGCCTCAGCCTCCCGAGTAGCTGGGACTACAGGGGCCCGCCACCTCGCCCGGCTAGTTTTTTGTATTTTTTTTAGTAAAGACAGGGTTTCACTGTGTTAGCCAGGATGGTCTCGATCTCCTGACCTCGTGATCCACCCGTCTTGGCCTCCCAAAGTGCTGGGATTACAGGCTTGAGCCACCGCGCCTGGCCGGAAAAAACTCTTAACTCTCTTGCTTTCATATCTTATCCAAGCACCTAGGAAGATAGCCAGTGATTATATATCTAAGTTTTATTTTAAGGGAAGTGGTGTCAAAGAATCATTAAACTTATTAATGAAAGGGCCAGCAGCATGGTAAAACTGAATTAAAGAAAATATAAAGGACTGGGCATATAAAGTAATTGCAATAAGATAGTTTAATTACATACAAAATAAACTATAACCTTTGGGTTATAATATTTTCATTTGCATCTCTGCAGGGATGAGTTTCATTTTCCTTCCTATTGAACAAGAATAATTTACATTTCTATCAGCTTTCTACAATTAACATCCACCCTTACAAAGTTGAAAAATATCCTAAATAGTAAATAGCAAGTCAAATAAAGCATACACTCCTAGAGAATCAGAACTCCAGGCAGGCCTGCTATGCAATGTTCAACACGCACTAAAAGGACATGTAAAAATCTCTTTTGCTTAATTCCAGGTTTTGGATGCTGTTTCTTTTTTTAGAAAAATAAAAAATTGCTTTAATCTAGATAAAAGAATAGCTACGGAGCTACTCGGTAAAATGTTCGAATGTGCACCAATGTGGACGGGAGAAAGGTGAGTTGCTGCCACTGCTGCTGATTTTGCACATCAGTTTCCAGGAAGATCTTAGAAGAAAGTACAGGTGACTCTAGGTCAGAGACCACTAAATGGAAATTCTTCCAAAAGATGAAAAGATGACATTGGGGTAAGGGAAAAGGATGACCTCATAAGCTTCTTTCCAGTTCAAAATTCTCTGAGATGAAGCAACCTGCAAGCATTTTTATAAATGAAATGTAGAGTTGAGGAGCCACTCCATGAATCCTAGTAGCCGGCCAAAGTTCACTGCTCAGTAAAGGAAATCTGAATTCAGACCAACACAGCCATTTAGAGAAAACCACTTCCTCACCTGACATCCATGTCTGCCTATACTCCAGATTTGGAGGGGGCAGATGTTAGGCTCCTATGTCAATTTCTTTTTGAAATATATTTTTTATTTCAATGGGTTTTTGGGGATCAGGTGGTGTTAGGTTACATGGATAAGTTCTTGAGTGGTGATTTCTGAAATTTTGGTGCACCCATCCTCCGAGCAGTGTACACTGTACCCAATGTGCAGTCTTTTATCCGCACCATCCCCCACCCCCCACCACACTTCCCCGAGTCCCCGTAGCCCATTAAATCATTCTTGTGCCTTTACATCCTCATAGCTTAGTTCCAACTTAAAAGTGAGAACGTATACTGTTTGGTTTTCCATTCCTAATTACTTCACTTAGAATAATGGTCTCCAACTCAATCTAGGTTGCTGCAAATGCCGTTACTTGCTTCCTTTTTCTGGCTGGTGTATATTCCATGGTATATATATACCACATTTTCTTTATTCACTCATTGTGAGCTGGTTCCATATTTGCGCAATTGTGAATTGTGCTGCTATAAACGTGTGTGCATGTGTCTTTTTCATGTAATGACTTCTTTTCCTCTGGGTAGACACCCAGTAGTGGGATTGCTGGATCAAACGGTAGATCTACTTTTAGCTCTTTAAGGAATCTCCACACTGTTTTCTATAGTGGCTGTACTAGTTTACCCTCCCGCCAGCAGTGTAACAGTGTTCCCTTTTGACCATATCATGCCAACATATATTATTTTTTGGTTTTTTAATCATGGTCATTCTTGCAGGAGTAAGGTGGTGTCACATTGTAGTTTTGATTTGCATTTCCCTGATGTTGGGCATTTTTCATATGTTTGTTGGCCATTTGTGTATCTTCTTTTGAGAATTGTCCATTCATGTCCTTAGCCCACTTTTTGATGGGATTATTATTATTATTATTATTTTCTTGGAGACTTGCTTGAGTTCCTTGTAGACTCTGGATATTAGTCCTTTGTCGGATGCACAGTTTGCAAAGATTTCCTCCCACTCTGTGGGTTGCCTGTTAACTCTGCTGATTATTTCTTTTGCAATGCAGAAGCTTTTAGTTTAATTAAGTACCATCTATTCATCTTTGTTGATGTTACATTTGCCTTTGGGTTTTTGATCATGAAGTCTTTGCCTAAGTCGATATCTAGAGGGTTTTTCTGATGTTATCTTCTAGACTATTTTTGGTTTCAGGTCTTAGATTTAAGTCTTTGATCCATCTTGAGTTGATTTTTGTATAAAGTGAGAAATGAGGATCCAGTTTCATTCTTCTAGATGTGGCTTGCCAATTATCCCAGAACCATTTGTTGAATAGGTTGTGTTTTCCCTATTTTATGTTTTTGTTTGCTTTGTTGAAGATCAGTTGGCCGTAAGTATTTGGCTTTATTTCTGGGTTCTCTGTTCTGTTCCATTGGTTTATGTGCCTATTATTATTATTATTTCTAAATTTTTATTTATTTATTTATTTATTTATTTATTTTTGAGACAAAGTCTCACTCTGTTGCCCAGGTTGGAGTGCAGTGGTGCCATCTCGGCTCACTGCGAACTCCATCTCCCAGATTCAAGAGAGTCTCATGCCTCAGCCCCCTGAGTAGCTGGGAATGCAGGTGCCCACCACCATGCCAGTCTACTTTTTGTATTTTAAGTAGAGATGGGGTTTCAACATGTTGGCCAGGCTGGTCTTGAACTCGCATCCTCAGGTGATCATCCCTCCTCAGCTTCCCAAAGTGCTGGGATTACAGGAGTGAGCCACTGTGCTCAGCCATATGTGCCTATTTTTATACCAGTACCATGCTGTTTGGGGGACTCTCACCTTATAGTTTGAGGTTGGGTAATGTGATACCTCCAGCTTTGTTCTTTTTGCTTAGTCTTGCTTTGGCTATGTGGCTTCATTTTTAGTTCCGTATGTATTTTAGGGTTGTTTTTTCTAGTTCTATGAAGAATGACAATGGTGTTTTGATGGGAACTGCATTGAATTTGTAGATTGCTTTTGGCAGTATGGTCATTTTCACAATATTGATTCTGCCCATCCATGAGCATGGAGTGTGTTTCCATTTGTTTGTATCATCTATTTCTTTCAGCAGTGTTTTGTAGTTTTCCTTGTAGAGGTCTTTCACCTTCTCGGTTCGGTATATTTTTAAGTATTTTATTTTATTTTGCAGCCATTGTAAAAGGAATCGATTTATTGATTTGATTCTCAGCTTGGTTGCTGTTGTTGTATGGCAGTGCTGATCTGTGTACCTTGATTTTGTATCCTGAAACTTTGCTGAACTCATTTATCAGTTCTAGAAGCTTTTTGGATGCGTGTTTGGGATTTTCTAGATATATGATCATATCATTGGCAAACAGCGACAGTTTGACTTTATCTTTATCTATTTCGATGCCCTTTATTTCTTTATCTTGTCTGATTGCTCGGCTAGGACTTCCAGAGCTATGTTGAATAGAAGTGGTGAAAGTGGTCATCCTTGTCTTGTTCCAGTTCTCTAGGGGAATGCTTTCAACTTTTCTCCATTCAGTATAATACTGGCTGTGGGTTTGTCATAGATAGTTTTATTACCTTAAGGTTTGTCCTTTCTATGTTGATTTTTCTGAAGGTTTTAATCATAAAGTGATGCTGGATTTTGTCAAATGCTTTTTCTGTGTCCATTGAGATGATCATGTGATTTTTGTTTTTGATTCTGTTTATGTGGGGTATCACATTTATTGACTTGCGTATGTTAAACCATCCCTGCATTCTTGGTATGAAACCCACTTGATCATGGTGGATTATTTTTTTGATATGCTGTTGGACTCAGTTAGCTAGTATTTTGTTGAGGACTTGTGCATCTATATTCATCTGAGATATTGGTCTGTAGATTTCTTTTTCCGCTCGGTTTCGACCCGAGGATCTTTCGCATGTAAGGCGAACATGATAACCACTACACTACAGAAACCGATGTGCACCTGTAGATTTCTTTTTTTTTGTTATGTCCTTTCCTGGTTTTGGTATTAGTGTGACACTGGCTTCATAGAATGATTTAGGGAGGATTCTTCTTTCTCTATCTTTTGGAATAGTTTCAATGGAATTAGTAACAATTCTTCCTTGAATGTCTGATAGAATTCAGCTGCGAATCCATCTGGTCCTGGACTTTTTTTGTGTTGGCAATTTTTTTTATTACTATTTCAATCTAACTGCTTGTTATTGATCTGTTCAGAGTTTCTATTTCTTCCTGGTTTAATCTAGGAGGGTGGTATATTTCCAGGAATGTATCCATCTTATCCAGGTTTTCTAGTTTGTGCTTTTAAAGGTATTCATAGTAGCCTTGAATGATCTTTTGTATTTCTGTGGTATCAGTTGTAATATCTCCTGTTTCATTTCTAAATGAGCTTATTTGGATTTGTGTTTTCTTTTCTTGGTTAATCTCACTAATGGTCTATCAATATTATCTATCTTTTCAAGGAACCAGCTTTTGATTTCATTTATCTTTTGTACTTTTTTGTTTCAATTTCATTCAGTTCTGCTCTGATGCTGGCTATTTCTATTTTTCTGCTGGGTTTAGGTTTGGTTTGTTCTTGTTTCTCTAGTTCCTTGAGGTGTGACCTTAGATTGTCTTTTTGCACTCTTTCAGACTCTGTGATATAGGCATTTAATGCTATGAACTTTCTTCTTAGCCCTGTGTTTGCTGTATCCCAGAGGTTATGATAGGTTGTGTCATTATTATTCATTTCAAGGAGTTTTTTAAATTTCCTTTTTGATTTCGAGATCATTGACCCAACGATCATTCAGGAGCAGATTATTTAATTTCCACATATTTGCATGGTTTTGAGGCTTCCTTTTGGAGTTGATTTTCAATTTTAGTCCACTGTGGTCTGAGAGAGTACTTGATATAATTTTGATTTTCTTAAATTTGTTGAGACTTGTTTTGTGGCCTATCATATGGTCTATCTTGGAGACCATATGCTGATGTTCTATGTGCTGGTGAATAGAATGTATAATCTGCAGTTGTTAGGTGGAATGTTCTGTAAAAATTTCTTAAGTCCATTTGTTGCAGGATATAGTTTAAGCACATTGTTTCTTTGTTGACTTTCTGTCTTGATGACCTCCCTAGTGCTGTCAGTGGAGTATTGAACTTCCCCACTTATTGTGTGGCAATCTGTCTCATTTCTTAGGTCTAGTAGTAAATGTTTTACGAATTTGGGAGCTCCAGTATTTGGTGCATATATATTTAGGGTTGTGATATTTTCCTGTTGGACTAGTCCTTTTATCATTATACAATGTCCCTCTCTGAGTTTTTTTGCTGTTGTTGATTTAAAGTCTGTTTTTGTCTGATATGAGAATAACTACTCTTGATCGCTTTTGGTGTCCATTTGCACGGAATATCTTTTTCCACCTTTACCTTTAAGTTTATATTTACCTTAAGTTTATGTGAGTTCTTGTGTGTTAGGTGAGTTTCTGGAAGACAGCAGATACTTGTGAATTTCTGTGAATTCTTATCCATTCTGCCATTCTACATCAGTATTGAGATGTGAGGTGCTATTCTGTTCATTGTACTAGTTGTTGCCCAAATACCTTGTTTTTTGTTTTGTTTTGTTTCATTGGGTTATTGTTTTATAGGCCCTGTGGGATTTATGCTTTATGGAGGTTCTATTTTGGTATATTTTGAGACTTTGTTTCAAGATTTAGAACTCCTTTTAGCAGTTCTTCTAGTGCTAGCTTGGTAGTGGTGAATTCTCCCAGCACTTGTTTGTCTGAAAAAGACTTTATCTTTCCCTCATTTATGAAACTTAGTTTCACTGGATACAAGATTATTCGCTGATAATTGTTTTGTTTAAGGATGCTAAAGATAGGACCTTACTCCTCCTAACTTGTAGGGTTTCCGCTGAGAAATCTGCTGTTAATCTGATAATCCTTTATAGATTACCTGATGCTTTTGCCTCACAGCTCTTAAGATTCTTTCCTTTGTCTTGACTTTAGATAATCTGATTACTACGTGTCTAGGTGATGATCTTTTTGCAATGAATTACCCAGATGTTCTTTGAGCTTCTATTTGGATGCCTAACTCTCTAGTAAGTCCAGGGAAGTTTTCCTCAACCATTCCCTCAAATAAGTTTTCTAGACTTTTAGATTTTTCTTCTTTGTCAGGAACACCAATTATTCTTAGGTTTGGTTATTTAACATAATCCCAAACTTCTTGGAGGCTTTGTTCATTTCTTTTGATTCTTTTCTCTTTGTCTTTGTCAGAATGGTTAATTTGAAAGACTTGTCTTGGAGCTCTGAAGTTCTTTCTTCTACTTGTTCAATTCTATTGTTGAGACTTTCCAGTGTATTTTGCATTTCTCTAAGTGTTTCTTTATTTCCAGAAGTTGTGATTTTTTTTTATTGGTGCTATTTATTTCTCTGGAGATTTTTCTGGTTCATATTCTCTATTATTTAAAAAAATTCTTTAAATTGGTTTTCACCTTTCTCTGATTCCTCTTTGAATAGCTTAATAATCGAACTTAGGAATTCTTTTTCTTGCAACTCAGAGATTTCTTGGTTTGGATTCATTGCTTGTGAGCTAGTCTGATCTTTTGGGATTGTTAAAAAACCTTTCTTCATCATATTACCAGATTTGTTTTTCTGCTTCCTTCTCATTTGGGTAGACTATGTCAGGTGAAAGATCTGGTGTTCAAAGGCTGCTGTTTAGATTCTTTTGTCCCATTGGGTGGTCCCTTGATGTGGCACTCTCCCCCTTCCACTAGGGTTGGGGCTTCCTGAGAACCAGACTACAGTTATTGTTACTGCTTTTCTGGGTCTACCACACAGCAGAGCTACAGGGCTCTGGGCTGGTACTAAGAGTTCGGTAATGTGATTCATCTTCAGGTCTTTCAGCTGTGGATATTTGCACCTGCTCTGGTGGAGGTAGCAGGGGAGTGAAGTGGACTCTGTGAGGGTCCTTGGTTGTAGTTTTGTTTTGTGCACTGGTTTTCTCAAAGGCTGGTTGTGGTAGCAGTTGGTTGGCCTCCAGCCAGGTGGTTTTGCTTTCAAGAGGGCATCAGCTGATACAAGCTTGCCCTGAGGTCACCTGGATAAGTATTCAGGTTTCTCAGGTAATGGGCAGGGTCATAGAAATCACAAGAGATTCTGTCTTTTGTCTTGGGCTACCACAGCAAGTAGAGAAAAACCATTGAGTCGGGGCAGGGATAAGCATGCCTGAACTTCAACTTTCCTTGGGTGGGGCTTGCTGTGGCCACTATGGGAGGTGGGGGAATGGTTCTCAGGCCAACGGAATTATGTTCCCAGGAGGATTATGGCTGCCTTTGGCTGTGTCATACAGGTCGCCAGGGAAGTGGGGGAAAGCCAGCAGTGATAGGCCTCACCCAGTTCCCACACAACCATACGGCTAGTCTCACTCTCGCCACCAGCAGCAAATTTATATCCAGGCAGTGGGTGAGCAGGGCTGAGATCTCACCCCAGGCTACAAGCCTCCCCACTGAGAATGCAGGCAGGGCTTTCAGGCCCCACCCTTCCCCACTTGTTTCTGTGTTCATATCTGCACTTCCTGTTTGCTGCCCTGGAAGGTTCTGCCCAGGAAGGTTCATGCTCATGAAATTATTACAAAATTCATCTAGAAGTTTCCTTCTGCCTATGGTCCTTCCTCAATTCTACTGGCAGCCCTCCCCAAGGACCCCTGTGAGACAAAGTCAGACATGGCTTCGCTGGGGACTGGGAGTGCCCACAGGGCTCTTCTCACTGCTTCTTCTACCTTTATATTTCACTGGGCTCTCTAAGTTTTTTTCAGCTCTAGGTAAGGTTAAATCCTTCTCTGGTGATCTGGATTTTCCGGTCCTCTAGTAAGGCTGTGTGTTTGGAGGCAGGCCTTCCCCTTCTCACACTTTGGGTGCTCACAGTTTTCTGGCTACTTATGGAGTTTGCAGCAGCAAGCTGCTTCCTCCAAAGTGCCTGTGAATTATTTTGGTTTTCTTGGTATGTTCTTGCAGTAGTTCTTGGAGTCAAGGTTCACAATGTGAGTCTCCACACACTGTTCCATCTGTTCAAGTGGGGGCTGACAGTCCTGCCTCCTAGCTGCCATTTTTCTTCTTTCTTGGACACTTTTCTAACAGCCATCCTCTGTGATCATAAAAAATCCCTAAATATTATTCTTGATCTCAAAAGCTGTTGTTATTTTATTTTGTCCTGTTAATTAACAATGCAGCAAGAAGTGTTAATTAACATATGTAAATTTCCTTGAACTATGATCAGCACATTCAGTGCCATATAGTGTTAGTCAACTATTAAGGCCAAAAATTAACCTCTGTCATAAGAACTAACAGGGCATCTAGTGTTGTGTTTTCAACAGGCTGTATTACTCCAGAGAACTTTGTATCACTCTTATTTGTGCTCATGTCCTGAAGCTAGGAAACCAACCCTGAGAAATTAATTTCTACCAGTGTTGCTTGGAGTACCTGTAAATGTTGATGAATTTATTTTCTTGACCTCTTCCTCCTCCCACTTCCAATCTGTTAAGGTACTTAGTCTGCCAGGAAGTGATTCTCTCCTCTAACTAAATATCCAGAACTCCAAAAGCCATAGAGTAGACCAATCTCCTGGGAGGGTTTTGTGAGCCTTGGTTCCACATATGAAACACAACTCCTGTTATCAATGGGGGCTTGCCATACCTGCTTAAATAAGATTTATTCTAATATAACACTTTAAGGCTTTGGTTGTACAATTGATTTTTTCCCTCACTTTATCTTGATTAACGACAACAACAACAAGAGCTTCTTATTGGCTCCTTGCCAAAACTACCTTGCTTTTAAAGGCAAACAGACTTAAAACTATTTGTCCCTGAATTTTGAGGGGTCCGTGAGAATATAATACTATTTAAATAATATTTCATTTTAGTATGCGAAAGCATAGTCTAAAACAGAGGTCAGCAAACTTTTATTGTAAAGGACCAGATAATAAATGTTT